GGGGAAACCGAGGGTTGGCTGGGTCTCGCGAAAAAAACGAACCTAGACGAAATCGGAAACTCTCGCCAAAGCCCACACCAGAAAAACTCCCTCTGGTCAACTTTTAAAAGCATGAACAATTTGGGCCGCCGGCTTTAAAGGGCGTGGCGAGATTGCGTCTGAGGGTGTGAGAGACATGTATGGGTTGCAGGTTCATACTGATTTTGATCATGATCCTCTTTAGACTTGCCTTTTTGAAATGTCAAACGGTATGAGATGATTCATCCAACGTCTACGTTTTCGATTCCTGCTCATTGCATGGAGAATATTATTTCCCAAAACAGTCGTTACCGGTATGGTGAGCTATAGGTGCAATGCAACCCAAGGGTTGTTCAGGGTAAATCAGCTTATTGCTTAGTGATGGAATGCAGCATTGTTGTAGAGAATTTGTTATATCAGCCTGGATGTATATTCTACTGACTTCGTGAAGCAGATGCTCTGTTTCATCCCCATCCACTGACTCCCACTCACTCCCCTCACTGTGATCTTCGTCCCCTTTCTCGTACCCCTCCTCAGATGTATCCTCGCTCTCCTGCTTAGCTACAGCCAATTCCTCTTCCACTCCTGATTGGCACTGGAGGCAGCAGAAGAGGGGGAAAGAGAGGGGAATAACACAAAAGAGGAAATACGAGTAAGTGGTGAGGTGGAAGGAACAGCTGTGGCTGTAGCACGTGTGACTCTAACAGGAGAACAGTGTCGTTGGCACTGGAGGCAGCACAGGAGGGGGAACGAGTAGGGAATAAGGCATGGGATGAGAGGGGGAGAAGAAAGGGGAATACGACAAGGGAGGAAAGACGAGTGAGCGGTGAGGAGAGGGAGAGGGAACAGCTGTGGCTGTAGCACATGTGACTCTAACAAAAGGACTGTGTCATTGGCACTGGAAGCAACACAAGAAGGGGGGATGAGGTGCATTTTGAGGCGCCTCAGGAAGCAGCACAAGAAGGGGAAAGAGTAGGGATCAAGGCAGGGGATGAAAGAGTAGGGATTAAGGCAGGGGATGAAAGGCGAGTGAATAATCACTGAGGAGAGGTGTGCTGATGGACGTAAGTGGTTTTTGAGAATTCTCAAAAATCACTCGCAAGGAGAGGTGTGCTGATGGACGTAAGTGGCTCTGGCGTGGATTGGCAAGACGTGCAGTGTGGTGTGGCTTACTGGGCCTAGTGCATTGTGCGGTGGGGAGAACCTCGTACAGAAATTGGCCTGCACTGACTGGTTTTAGAAGCTCTGGTGTGGCTTGGCGAGAGGACGAGTGGGAGCATGCGGACGGGGTATGTGCTACAGAGCATACTAGGCATAGCAGCCGGCTTGCTGGGGCCTTGCGTAGTGAGTCTGTTTTTGACTCAGACTCAAAAATAGACGCGCATACTGGGCATAGCAGCCGGCTTGCTGGGCCTTGGTCACCGGGTGGTGGGGAGGACGTCGTGCAGAAAGTGGTCTGTGCTGATTGCCCTCAACGGCTCTAGTGTGGCCTGGCGAGAGGGCGAGTCAGTCTGGGAGGACCAGTAGGTACGTGCTACTAAGAGCATATGCAGCAAGCAAAGCAGGCGGCTTATTAATAGGACTGGCTCACCGGGTGGTGGGGAGGACGTCGTGCAGAAAGTGGTCTGTGCTGATTGCCCTCAGAGGCTCTGGCGTGGCCTGGCGAGAGCGTGAGTGGGTTGCAGTAGCAGCAGCAGCAGCAGCAGCAGCCCTGAAGGGAAAGAACCAAGAGCTTGTGCTGCTGCCCCTGCTAGTGCTCGCTTCCCTGCTGCTCCTCTTCCCTGCTGATACATCTGCTACTCGCGTCCTGCTGCTGCTGCTGCTGCTGCTGCTGCTGCTGCTGCTGCTGATTTTCTGGTGTTGGCTTTCCCTAGCCCCTGGCCCCCTGCCTTGCTTCTCCTGCTGCTGCTTCTCCTGACGTTGCTCCTGCTTTTGCTGCTGCTGTTGCTCCTGCTTTTGCTGCTGCTGTTGCTCCTGCTTTTGCTGCTGCTGTTGCTCCTGCTTTTGCTGCTGCTGTTGCTACTGCTACCAGGAGCAGATGAGCCCAGGGGATCGACTGTGTGCTGGTCCAGCGGACAAATCAGCCGACAAATCAGGAAGTGAGGAAGCATTGGAAGGAGCCTGGGCGTGCCCCAAAGGTGGGAACTTGTTCTGAGGCGTCTGAGGGAGTGGGAGAGAGAAGGATAGGGGAAGGGAGGAAGATAGGGAGGGGAGGCGAGGAAGCCTTGGAAGGAGCCTAGCCTGGGCATGCCCCAAAGGTGAGGACCTGTGTCGCACCCTCTCCCAGTGGATCCGCCCTCCCGTCCTTCTCTTACTCTGTGCCCTCTAATCCTTACTTCTCTCCCTGCTTCCCCGCTTCCTTGTGCACACCTCCTCCTCGTCTCTTATAGGTAATGATACTCTCTGGACCCCTGTCAAAAGAAGCCCTCGACGCGAGTGGCTAGTTTCCTTCCCTAGGCACAAATGGCCGCACTAGTTTGGCTTCTCCGACGTGGATCTAGCAGTTGCTCAGCTTGACGACAGATCACAACTGAATCACAAGCTTTCCCACAATTACGAGAAGACAAACAAAAGTGAATTGGTGTCCTTGCTGTGCTAGTTTTGGCTTCCTGTCACCCCTCGTGGATCTGTGCCTTGGGGTCTGCCAACTACCTCTCGCACCGCCCAACCCTTGGGCTCCTTTCCATGCATGCGACTCGGGCACGCCTCGTCACCCCTGTCCCCTTTCCGCTTCACCGGTGGCCCTTGCCAGGTCAGCCGTCGCCCCGTCCTCATTTCGAGTGGCCCCGCCTCGATTCTTCTATCCCTGCCACAATTCTGATATCACCACAAAACCCCCCCCCTTACCCGTACACTCTACAGTACAATTTATAACAACAATACAACAATACTACTTCCCTTACGATTTACCCAACCATACTCACCTTAGGAGCTGTCTCATGAACTTTTGTGCACTCATTCGCAAGAGTCATGCGACACCTGCTCTGAAGCGTCAGAGGGGGGACCTGCTGGAAGGAGCCTGGGCGTGCCTTAAAGGTGGGGACCTGTTCTGAGGCGTCTGAGGGAGTGGGAGAGAGAAGGATAGGGGAAGGGTGGAGGATAGGGAGGGGAGGCGAGGAAGCCTTGGAAGGAGCCTAGCCTGGGCATGCCCCAAAGGTGAGGACCCGCCCTGAAGAGTCTGAGGGGGAAAGAGGGGATGAGTGGAGGAAGAGAGGAGGAGCGAGGGGGATAAGGAGTGGAGACGAGGAAGCCTTGGAAGGAGCCTGCGCATGCTCCAAATGTGAGCACCTGCTCTGCGGCGTCCGAGGGGGAGGAGAGCGGGAGGGAGGGAGCGAGATAGGGAGATGAGAGGAGAGAAAGGAGGCGGGAGGAACAAAGAAGCCTTGGAAGGAGCCTGGGCGTGCCTCAAAGGTGGGCACCTGCTCTGTGTGGGAGGGAGGGAGCGAGACAGGAAGGAGCCGGGCCGCGCTCCAAAGTTGGGCACCACCTGCCCCGAGGCGTCTGTGTGGGTGGGAGAGAGAAGAGAAGGATAGGTAGAGTGAGATGGCGAGATGAGGAATGCTTGGGTTAATGAAGGCACATGACACGCACGACACACACACGACACACACGACACACACGACACACACGACACACACGACACACACGACACACATGACACACACGACACACACGACACACACGACACACACACACACACACACACACACACACACACACACACACACACACACACACACACACACACACACACACACACACACACACACACACACACACACACACACACACACACACACACACACACACACACACACACACACACACACACACACACACACACACACACACACACACACACACACACACACACACACACACACACACACACACACACACACACACACACACAACACACACACACACACACACACACACACACACACACACACACACACACACACACACACACACACACACACACACACACACACACACACACACACACACACACACACACACACACACACACACACACACACACACACACACACACACACACACACACACACACACACACACACACACACACACACACACACACACACACACACACACACACACACACACACACACACACACACACACACACACACACACACACACACACACACACACACACACACACACACACACACACACACACACACACACACACACACACACACACACACACACACACACACACACACACACACACACACACACACACACACACACACACACACACACACACACACACACACACACACACACACACACACACACACACACACACACACACACACACACACACACACACACACACACACACACACACACACACACACACACACACACACACACACACACACACACACACACACACACACACACACACACACACACACACACACACACACACACACACACACACACACACACACACACACACACACACACACACACACACACACACACACACACACACACACACACACACACACACACACACACACACACACACACACACACACACACACACACACACACACACACACACACACACACACACACACACACACACACACACACACACACACACACACACACACACACACACACACACACACACACACACACACACACACACACACACACGACACACACGACACACACGACACACACGACACACACGACATGCACGACACGCACGACACGCACGACACGCACGACACGCACGACACACATTGCTCACCGCACTCTAGAATGCATGCTTCTCTTTCTCTCCCACACACCCCGCTTGTCGCTAAAAGGCACGCTTCGAGGTCCCTCTCTCTCACCCACCGATAAGCCCTACCAGGCCGAGAGAATCGTCCCCAATGTACAAGTTGCGGGTAGAGAGACGACTTTTGAGGCGCCTCAAAAGTGGTCCCTCTCTCTCACCCACCGATAAGTCCCACCAGGCCAAGCGAATCATCCCCAATGTACATGACCCGACTGCCCGTGCTGATGGAGCGATGGAAGAGACTTGTGAGGGCCTGATGTGGGGGGGAGGTGGGGGGAATGGGTGGGGGGAATGGGTGGGGGGAATGGGTGGGGGGAATGGGTGAAGAAAAAGGGGGTACCAGCCCCACTCGGCCCACCAGGCCAAGCGAAACGTCTCCAATATACATGACCCGACCGCCAGAGCTGATGGCGCGATGGAAGAGACGGGCGAGGGCCTCCTATACACACCCCGCACAGCCCTCGAAGCCATATCATGAGCCACCATCAGATCCCAGCACCGAGCCTTAGAGGCAGCTTCATTTTCGAAAGAGGTTTGAAATATCAGTCTAAAGAGATGATTGACTCAACACAATTCCGGGTAATTGCTCCCCTCATTGCCCCCTCGTAAGCCGCCATGACATCGCCGTACCGAGCCGCCCGGGCAGAAGTATTTTTCAGGAATAACCCACTGTAATGCGGGGTGGTTCCCCTAATAAACACCCCTCACAGCCCTTCACAAGCCATTATTGAATCCCAGTACCAAGCCTTTGAGGTATCTCCATTCTCTGGCAAGTTTGGTAACTGTCTAGGGTTGTTGATTACCCACCACAATTCCGGGTAATTGCTGGTAAACTCCCCTCATCGCCCCCTCGTAGGCTGCCATGACATCGCCGTACCGAGCCGCTAGTGCAGCCTCGGTTCGGCCCCAGCCTACCCGTGCCGCCCGCCGAACCGATGTTTTGTCATCGGGAGTGAGCTCGGGGGTAGGGTTGATGAGTAGGAGGGGCACTCCCGCATCTGATGGGGTGGGGAGGGGGGAATGGATTGAGGTGTAGGATAATTGCAACAAGTTTTTACACTACATAGGGGAGTGAGCTTCAGGGGAGTGTTGATGAGTAGAAGGGGCACTCCCGCATTTGATAGGGGGTGGGGAAGGAGGGGAGGGGGGATGGGGAGGGGCACAAGGATGGAAAGGGGGGAGTGACATAGAGTCCTTTTTCTTTTTTGCCACATGGTATCTTGGGGAGTGAGCTTTAAGAGTACAGAAATTCTTCACATATCATTTCTGCCACTTGGTATCTTGGGGAGTGAGCTCCAGTAGAGGGTTGATGAGTAGGAGTGGTACTCCTGCATCTGATATGGGGGGAACAGGGGGAAGGGGAGGGGGGAATCTGCGAGAGGGTTGATGAGCAAGAGGGGCACTCCTGCATCTGACAGTGAGGAGGAAAGTGGGAGTGGGGGCACGGAGAGAAGACGAGGAAGGCGGGAAAAGAGGGGGAATGATAGGTGGGTTTGGTAGGGACGTGTATCAGAGAAGGTGCAAAAACATGGCATCTTCTTTTGTTTGTTTGTTTGGTTTTTTTGCCCCGGCAGTCAGTCACCGCTCACAACGGCTTTTGAGACGTCTCAAAAAAGAATCGGCAGAAGGACCTTTGTATGCAGCAGTGCCAGCCAGCCACCACAACAATTTTTGAGGCGCCTCAAAAATCGTCTCAAAAGAGAATCGGCACAAGGACCTTTGTATGCAGCACTGCAGCCACCACAACAGCAGCCCCACAGCCTCTACTCATACACTCCCCCATACGCCCGCCTCATGTGACTGCCAGCACTCACAGCTTCCAAGGGCGGGCAGGCAGCACTCGTGCAATGGCCCGGCTGAAAATGGTTTCCATCCAGAAGGACCTTGGTCGCGCTGCCTGCTGTCACAGCCCCATGTCTCTACTCATACCGCTGACCCTTAACACTCACAGCTGCCAAGGGCGGGCAGGCGCAGCACTCTGGCGATGGCCCGGCTGAAGATTGTTTCCGAAAGGACCTTGGTGGCAGTGCCTCAGCAGCCCCATATCCTCTCTACTCACACTGCTGATCCATAACACTCACAGCTTCCCAGAGCAGGCAGGCGCAGCACTCTGGCGATGGCTCGGCTGAAGATGGTCTCCAGAAGGACCTTGGTGGCAGTGCCGCTGCAGCCCCATATCCTCTCTACTCACACTGCTGATCCATACCACTCACACGCGCCCCCACACTCACAGCTTCCTAAAGCAGGCAGGCGCAGCACTCTGGTGATAGCTCGGCTGAAGATGCTTTCCAGAAGGACCTTGGTGGCAGTGCCGCCCTTGAGCCGAGTGGACCCTGTTATGGTCTCCTGTGGTTGTTGGGATGGGCAGAAGAGGAGAGAAGCGAAGAGAAGAGAAGGGATATAAGCGGCCAGACCCCTTTCAGCCAGGAGGACCTTTGCAGCGCTGCCGCCCTTGAGCCTCGTGGACCCTGTTATGGCCTCCTGTGTTTGTTGGACATGGCATATTGGAGGCATGGTGGCATGGCGGTAAGGGAATGGGGGTGAGTTAGAAGGACCTTGGTGGCATTGCCGCCCTTGAGCCTGAAGAACCCTGTTATGGTGAGAGGGTGGCACCCCTCCCCACCCCTTCCCACTCCTCCCACTCACCTCTAACCCCTACCTACCGGGCCGACAGCAGGAGAGAGGATAAAGTGCCTTGGCACTTCCCCCTCTGCTTCAGCAGCATCGATGCGAGCCCTCAGTTCCGAAAGCACAGAGGAGACAGGTCACACCTTTTCCACCACACCTCACTCCTCCCCACTCCTCACTACCCCTCCCCCATACATACCGGGCCGACAGCAGGAGAGAGGATAAAGTGCCTTGGCACTTCCCCCTCTGCTTCAGCAGCATCAATGCGAGCCTTCATTTCTGAAAGCACGGACGGAAAGGTGGCGCCTGGAGCACCCTGGTTGGGGAATGGGCATAAAATTGAATCAGCAGAGGGAGTGGATGGAGGATTGGAGAAAACGGTGGTGGCGTCTGTTTCAGCAGCATCAATGCGAGCCCTCAGTTCTGAAAGCACGGACGGGAAAGTCACGCCTGGAACACCCGGTTGGGGAATGAAAGGGCGAGGGAAAGAAGGAGGAAGGGGCGGGGGGAAAGTCGGCAAGTCGGAGGAAAGGGTGGTGCTAATGTCTGCTTCAGCAGCATCAATGGGAGCCCTTAGCTCTTGAAGGACAGACGGGAAGGAAAGGTTACGCCTAGAGCACCCTGGTTGGGGAGTGGAAGGGGAGTGGAAAGAAGGAGGAAGGAGTGGGGAGACAATAAGAGATGGTGTCTGCTGCAGCAGCATCGATGCGAGCGCATAACTCTTGACGGGCAGACCAGCACCCTGGTTGGAGAGTGGGGGCGTGCGACGGTGCGAGGAGGGTGGTGAGAGGAAAGGGAGGTGCCTGTTGGGGCAAGCAAGGTATCTTACCCGCACTTGCATCACCCCCACCACCAATGCCCACCCCACCTCCGATACCCACCCCCACACTCACTTCAGCTGCTCACCCACCCACCTTGGTGTTTGGAGCGAGAGAGGGCGGATTGAATACCATGACAGCAACAGTGCAGTTTGACTGGGAGAGGACATACTGTGAGGGGATGAGCGAGCAAGGTATCCATCTCGCACTTGCATCACTCGTACCCACCCTCCACTCCCCACCATTCATGCGCTCACCAACCCACCTTGGTGTTTGGTGCGAGAGAGGGCGGATTGAATACCATGACAGCGACGGCGTAGTGTGACTGAGGGAGGGCGTACTGGAGGGATGGGCAAGGTATCCTTCTTGCACTTCCATCGCCCATATCCACCCTCCACACCCTTCATCCTCTCGCCCACCCACCTTGGTGTTTGGCGCCAGAGAGTGTGGATTGAAGCCCATGACAGCGACGGCGCAGTGTGACTGTGAGAGGGCGTACTGGGGGGATGGCAGGGGCACGGCTGTCGTGCTCTTACCTCCCTCCCCACCTGTCATCCTCCCACCCACCCACCTTGGTGTTTGGCGCGAGAGAGGGCGGATTGAAACCCATGACAGCAACGGTATAGTGCGACTGTGAGAGGGCATACTGGAGGGACAGCAGGGGAAGCGATTGGGAAAGAACAGGGAGTAATGGAGTGCTTATGTTGTATGCTGTGTGATGTGTGCTGTGTGTGTGCGTATGTGCACAGGTTGAAGCCCATGACAGCGACGGCGTAGTGCGACTGGGAGAGGGCGTACTGGAGGGATGGCAGGGGGGGAACGAGAAAGATGCAAGTGGGTGGTTGTGCATATAAAGGGAAGTGGAAGGATGAGCACTGAAGTCCATGACAGTGGCAGCAGCGATTCGGAGAAGGCGTCTTGGAGGGATGGGGTGGGGAGCAGATAGAAAAGAGCAGCAGCTCCCCATGGAGTGTGCATGCAGGGAAGTTAAACCCAACACGGAGCAGCTTGGAAGGGTGTCTGACTCTGACTCTGACATCCTTATTCAACAAGGATGTCTGGCTCTGACTGACCCACGCTTAGTCGCTTGGCCCCTGCTAGGCTTGTTTGACTCATCTTGACTTGTGCTTGCAGTGCATGCCCCCTGCTAGGCTTGTTTGACTCACCTTGACTGGTGCTTTTAGTGCATGGCCCCTGCTAGGCTTGTTTGACTCACCTTGACTTGTGCTTGCAGTGCATGGCCCCTGCTAGGCTTGTTTGACCCACCTTGACTTGTGCTTGCAGTGCATGGCCCTTGCTAGTCTTGTTTGACTCACCTTGACTTGTGCTTGCAGTGCATGGCCCCTGCTAGGCTTGTTTGACTCATCTTGACTTGTGCTTGCAGTGCATGGCCCCTGCTAGGCTTGTTTGACTCACCTTGACTTGTGCTTGCAGTGCATGGCCCCTGCTAGGCTTGTTTGACTCACCTTGACTTGTGCTGCCACGTAGGGAGCGCTGAGGCCACAGCTGATGTCGATCTGAGGCAAGACAGAGAGGGAGGTACAGGGGAGGTAGTGGGAAGGAAGGACACATGTTATCAGTAGCACGCTTCAAAAACATGCTGCCACGTAAGGAGCGCTGAGGCCACAGCTGATGCCGATCTGAGGCAGGAATGAGAGGGGGAGGTATGGAGAGGTGGATGGTGGAATGGGTGGGGGGGGAGAGGAAGTAGGAGATGCGGTGCAGTGCAGTGCGGTTTAAAGCATGCTCCTACACAGGGTGCGCAGAGGTCGCAAGTGATGCCAATCTGAGGCAAGACAGAGAGGGGAGGCACGGGGATGGGAAACGAAGTAAATTATCATCAGAGCACCTCAAGCCTTCAGGGGCATGGCGCGACGTAGGGGGCGCCGAGGGCACAGCGACCAGACGCGTCCATTTAAGTCCACACGCGTCAAGTTGCATTCAAACACGTCCAGACGCCTTCATTTGCCTCCTCACGCGTCCAGATGCGTCCAGAAGCGCCCGGACTCATCCAGACGCGTTCAGATGCGTTCATACTCGCCCAGTGGCGACCAGACGCTTTCACTTTCGTCCAGACCCTTCCAGAATGCACAGGGAAAGCGAGTCAGGGGGACGCATGTAGAGGGCTCTCCTGCACGGCTTCCACAAACCACCAGCTCTTTCAATTGAATAAAAAGCCCACAGAAAGGAAGTAGGTGTATAAATGAGGCAGGCACGGCATGGGGCAACATGAAAGAGCAGGGAGCAGGGAGCAGGGAGCAGGGAGCAGGGAGCAGGAGGCAGCACGTACATAGAGCACTCGCCCACACGGCTTCCCCCACGGGTTGCCTCTCGCCTCCACTCGCCTCAACGCTGCCTCTGCTGCTTCTTGGTTGTCCTCTGCTCCCTCCTGTGCCTGGTGTGAAAAAGTGGGGGGATTGGTTGGGAGGGGGTTAGGAGTGAGGGAGGTTGGTAGGCGGTCATGAGAAGCAGAGAGGTTGGAGAGAGGGGTAATCTGAGGGTATATGGTGCCTTTTTGTGCCTCTTGTGATGAGTCGATTTGTGAGTCGACTCAAAAATCGACTCATCACAAGCAGAGAGGTTGGAGAGAGGGGTAATCAGGGGGTATATAGTGCCCTTTTGTGCCTCGTCTCAGTGCTGCCTCCCTCCGCTGACTGCGGAATGAGAGACAGGAGAGGGGGCAACAGTTTCTCCCTGTGCCACCACAGTTGTATATATTCAGAAACAACAGAGAGCTTTCATGAGCTTAGGGGACTTTTGAGTCGACTCAAAAGTCACCTCGTTTCTCCCTGTGTCACAGTTGTACATATTCAGAAACAACAGACAGCTTTTATGAGCTTCTGTTTCTGTTGAGGCGCCGCAAAAGTGAGAAACAGAATATGCAAGTCTGCGGACTTCATATTTCACTTTGCACATGAACGCACACGCATGCGCGTGCGCACGCGCGCGCACGCACGGACGCACGCACGCACGCGCGCGCGCGCCCACACACACACACACACACACACACACACACATACACACACACGCACACGCGTGCTCCCATTCCCCCCTCTCCCCTTCCCCCCCACACCCATCCACCCACGCCCCCCTCTCCCCTTCCCCCCCTTGCGCGCGCGTGCGCGCAGACACACATACACACACCCACACCCCCCCCCCCCCCCCCCCCCTCCCCCCCCCCACACACACACCTTGAGTAGGGCCGGTAGCCCCCCTGCGATGAGGAAGTGGAAGCAGGGCGGCAGGCCGTATCTCCTGAGCACCGCGTTGAAACAGAGAACCACCTGCAGGTGAATTTTCAGGTGAAAGTCGGGTGGGCGGTTGGCACGTGCCAGATGGATGGTTGGCTGGATAAACGTCCAGTGCAGGAAACGTCATCGTGTGTTTCTTGAGAATTCTCAAAAAGTATGGCGTTAAAAGTTAACAGCTTGAAAGAATGAGAGAAGGAACTTAAAGCCCGATGTGTTTTGAGTCGACTCAAAACACACCTGGAACTTATAGCCCAATCCACAGTAGTAAAGAAAAGGCAGAAGTAATAACAGGGCCCATTTTTTTGTTGCAGCTTTTAGTTTCGAAAAAAGGTGAGTGTTGAGTCGACTTGAAAGTCACCCTGTTAGAAGTTTCGACTCAATTTCTTTAGAACAGAAGGCTAAGTGATCATCCAAAAAACTGATGGAAGAGAGGCGAAAATCGCCAGAGGGGAAAGAAAGCAAATTGCAGTAGACAAGCAGGAATTGCAGTAAAAAACACTTGACATGAAGATTCACCTGAAAGGCTATTCTGCCACTGGTGCCGGCACATGACACCACCACTGCACTATCCTGAGTTACGGGGGAAAGGGGTGGATGATTGCGAGGGAGAGAAGGGGGCAAAAGGGCGAAGGGTAGAGGGGAAATTGGAGCTGGGGAAATGCATACGTGCCGGCACCTGACACCACCACTGCACTATCCTGAGTTACAGAGTGGTGGGGCGCGATTGGGAGGGTTGGGGGGGGGGAGGAGGAGAGATGAGTAAGTGGGGGCCAGTGATTGGGGCCCATGCGAGTGAGTGGTGCCGGCACCTGACACCACCACTGCGTTATCCTGAGTTACAGAGTGGTGGGGCGCGATTGGGAGGGTGGGAGGGTGGGAGGGGGGAGGAGGGGGAGGAGAGATGGGTAAGTGGGGGCCATGCGAGTGAGTGGCGTCAGCACCTGACACCACCACTGCACTATCCTGAGAGATGAGGTAGTGGGGAGGATAAATGCGAGCCGGGAGAAAGGGAGAAGAGGAGAAGGGGAGAAGGGGAGAAGGGGAGAAGGGGAGAAGGGGAGAAGGCGGTACGACCATGATTGGGGAGGGAAAGAGACGGGTGAGTTGGGGCATGCAAGTGGCGCCAGCACAAGACACCACCACTGCACTATCCTGAGAGATCGGGCGGTGGTGACCATGATTGAGAGGAAGGAAGGAGAGAAAAGGCAAGGGAGAAAAGGCAAGGGAACATTTAAGCAATGGGGAGAAAAGGCAAGGGAGAAAAGGCAAGGGAGAAAAGGCAAGGGAGAAAAGGCAAGGGAACAGGAAACAGCAGCATGCAATGGGGAAGAGAAAGAGAACGAGAACGAGGAAGAGCAAGATGAGGGGGGGAAGGGCAGGGGAGAGTAGGGGAGGGCAGGGGAGGGCTGGGGAGGGCAAGGGAAGCAAATCTGAAAAAGGAGGAGATAAAGAGAAAGAGAAAGAGGAGGAGGGAAAGGACGGACTGCTTGCCTTGGAGAAGGAGACGATTTCAGCCGCCACTGCTGTTCTTCAGACTTAGTCCCAGCGAGCTGCAGACTTAACTAGGCTTAAGCAGAAGAGGAAGGCGGGGAAGGACGGACAGCTTGCCTTGGAGAAGGAAACGACTTCAGCCGCCACTGCTGTGAGCTGGTCGACCACTCGAATGGTCTGATGTAGAGATGAGGGGAGGGAGGACAGGGAAAAAGGGGAGGCGGACAAGGGGAAGTGGAGGGGCGCGAGCAGACAGGGGGAAAGGGAGCGGACAGGGGGGAGGGGAGCGGACAGGGGGAAGGGGACGGGAGCGGACAGGGGGAAGGGGGGGGAAGGAAGCGGAGAAGGGGAAGGGGAGCGAGACAGGAATGGGGCAAAGGATGAAAAGAAAAAGGGGGGAGTGGACAGATGGTTTAGGTAATTCCGAGCATGGAGTGGAAAGTACCTGCACATTGCATTTAGAGAAGAATCCCCCGCACCGCACGTCACATGTTTTGAGGCATCCCGAAAAACGGGGGTAATGAGGCGACTTTTGAGGCGCTCCAAGAGTAATTCCGAGCATGGAGTGGAGAATAAATCTACCGCGCATCACAATCCAATCCAACCCCAAGGAAAGCTCCAAGCACCCTCATCCCATGCTTCAAGCACCCTCACTCCATGCTTCAAGCACCCTCACTCCATGCTTCAAGCACCCTCACTCCATGGTTCAAGCACCCTCATTCCATGCTTCAAGCACCCTCACTCCATGCTTCAAGCACCCTCACTCCATGCTTCAAGCACCCTCACTCCATGCTTCAAGCACCCTCACTCCATGCTTCAAGCACCCTCACTCCATGCTTCAAGCACCCTCACTCCATGCTTCAAGCACCCTCACTCTCCGCTCTGCTCTGCACACGCCCTCCGAGTGTGCTCTTCCCGTTTCAACCCCCCCCCCCCCCCCCCCCCCCCCCCCTTCCACCACTGCATTCCCCTCGCACTGCACCTCCCCTCTGCACTCCTTCTCTCTCCGCGCGTCACAGAGCACTTCTGTCAGGCAGGCTTATTGCCTCAATAGAGTTTGCTATTAACGAAGCAGACAGCTCGCAAGCCTATAAAAGGTATCGGGAGGACAACCTCGCACGCTCACCTCTTCGTCCATCAGGCCGGGGTAACCCGCATAGCCGGCGAAAAGCTGCGCGTCGCACGCGCGGAAAATTCGCACGATTTCGTCCGGCGACGCGACGTCTATCGCCGAGGACATCTCATTCGGTCGCTCTGTGAGAGGGAGCTCGTGCGACTGTTAGAAGTGGTTCGCCGCTGCACCGACTCTAGAGCATGAAAACGACAGAACAGGACACTTGGAAATTGCCTTACCTATGGCGGTGGGAGAGAATAGGCTGGAATAACGAGTTCTGACGGTGGGAAGAGTTAGGTGAAAGATCCTGAGGAAGAGCTGGTGAAAACGAGGGTTTCAGGAGGAAGAGAAGGGAGAACGTTCTGGACCGCCAGAATTTTCCCAACCTTTCTGGAGGCGGTGTTCGGTGGAGTTGAAGAAAGGCGGTTTCACCGACGGTTCAGTTTGAATTTCGGTTTTCAATGCCGGTTACTGTTACGAAATTCGGATTCGCGACGAGGCGCGTTACGCGAGGCGCACATTGAAATTCGGATTTCAGATTGCTTAAATATCATGTTCTGTTTTCCTCATTCCATCAATTTTTCTTAGTGAAACTTTCTGTTTGCAACCTGGGTTGGAAAGCAACCTGATTTCTCAACTTTCAGATCCAGTTTGAAGCCCGCTACTGCTACTTTCGTGACCTGCTAAGTCACGTACTCGCTACGTCTAAGTCTCAGAGCTGGTATCAGAGCTGGTTATAGTGCGTTTCAAGCATTCAAGAAGGGCCAAAACAAGTTCCTGCATCATGCTGAATGGGGATGGTGAGGCAAGCTCGGGTTCTTCAGTAAGTGCTGAAGTTCCCCAAGTCCAAGCCCTCTTGGAGGCCCTTACACAAGGGCACGTGGTGGCCAGGCCAACGATTGGCCTGAGCGAGGCGCAACGGTTCAATGGCAACAACTACAGCACATGGCGACTTAAGTTCATGCGGAGGGCAAGAGAAGTTGATATCTGGCCCCTCTACAAAGCGGACGAGGAGACGGAGGAAGGAGTACCTCCACCTGCAACGGCAACGGCACAAGAGAAGAAGACATACAAGAAGAAAAGTTTGCAAGCTTTCTTCCAACTGTGTCACTCAGTTTCGGACTCCATCACTGTGGGGCTGGACCAGTTTGCGGACGACATCAATTCAGCACAACGTGCATGGGCATACATGGAAGCGGTATATCTCGGACGGAGCGACACGAATTTGACTGGAGTGAGAAAGAAACTGCTGCTGCTTGCAATGGAGCCAACGGAGAAGATCATTGACTACGTGAATCGAGCCAAGAGCTACAACGATGATCTCACAGCAATGGGGGCGCCCGAATCAGAGAAGCACATGATGGGATACATCATCAGCGGCCTACCCAAGGAGTGGACAGCAGAGATCGGAATTCTTACCTGCAACACGCCCAAGGATATGACCCAGCTGCTCGAGACCCTCCAAGCGCTGGAGCTGGTCAAATCTGACCTGAAAAGGAGGGAAGCAGTGGCAACGGCAGCAGAGGTCAACAGGCCTGCAAATCTGAATGCAACTGCAACACCAAGGGATTTTGGCAACTGCTACAACTACGGGAAGAAGGGGCACAAAGCTGCCGACTGTTATTCCAACCCCAATGGAAGGAACTACAAAGGGAAAGGACAGTGGCAACAACACAACGATGCAAGGCGTGGAGAAGGCTACAAGGCAAGCGGAGGTTTCAATGGAAATTGTAACCATTGCAGCAAATATGGGCACAAAGCTTCCGATTGCTACAAGAACCGATTTAGCAGAAACTTCCGAGGAAAGGAGCTGCAACAACAAAGACCAGCAGCAGCAGCGAAGACAAACCTGATGGAGGCACCTGCAGCAGTGGAAGAAACGCCAAAGGTGGACGCCATCCTTGGAGGCGCCCACAAAGCCAACGTTGCTCGAGCATCCGAGGTGTGCCTGCTGTCAAAAGGATTCAAGGAGACGGCTTGGTTTATGGACAGCGGGTGCACACAGCACATGACGCACCGCGCTGATTGGCTACGCGACTACCGGGAATCCGGAGTCCCTTACGTCCTACTCGGGGATGAAGGAAAACTTCAAGTGCAAGGAGAAGGGGACCTCATTTTACAGAGCCCCTATGTGGAGCTGAAAATGGACAACGTTCTCCTGGTGGAGAAGCTGTCCCTCAACCTGATAAGTCAGACGCAACTGGACAGCAGTGGTTGCAAGGCGTTCAGTGACAACGGAAAGCTGTGGGTGTTCGGTCCCGACTGGCAACTACTAGCGGAAGGCGCACGGACTCAAGGACTCTACGAGATGAAGCTGAAGGAGGTCACCTATCAACCTGAACCTGAAGAGGGGAAGAAGGCCCGAGAAGACCTACGTACCATGCTGGAAAATACTGCAGTGACCGAACTGCAGCAGCTGAAGCTTCCCGTAGCAGCAGCGGCGGAAGCGGTTGATATCAATCTCCTGCACAAAAGGATGGGGCATGCGAACACTCAACGGATCAAGGAAATGATGAAGAAAAACATGGCAGCGGGAGTGAAGGTGACTGGAGCTGAGGAAACCCACACGAAGTGCGACTCATGTATCGAAGGGAAAGCTACCAAGGCTCCCCATCCAAGACATGGGCCGAAGGAGCCATATGGGGCAATGGAAGTGGTAGCAGCGGATGTATGCGGTCCCATGAGAGTCACATCACGACATAGCAGCAGATACTTTGTCACGTTCACAGACATCGGCACAAGACTCACATGGGTGACGGAACTTATGGATAAAACTCAGGTTTTTCCGAGCTTTGTGGACTGGTTGGCGGAAGCTGAACGGCAAAGCGGCAAGCAGCTGAAAGTACTTCGAACTGACAATGGTGGGGAGTTCATCAACAAGGAGTTCAACGACTACCTGAAAGCCAAGGGAATACGACGGCAGCGTACTATTCCCCATACCCCTCAACACAATAGTGTTGCGGAACGGGTGAACAGGACACTGCTCAACAGCGTGCGAAGCATGATAGCGGACAGCAAGCTACCTCTAACCTACTGGGGAGACGCGCTGGGTATGGCTTGCTGGCTGAAAAATCGCCTACCGACAAAGGGACTTGTAGCGGACAAGACACCTCACAATGCATTCTACAAGCGGAAACCTAACCTGAAGTTTCTTCGAGTATGGGGCTGCATGACGCAATACAGGCCCTCTGCTGGAGCTGATCACAAACTCCTGCCAAGAGCACGTTGGGGGGTGCACTTAGGGACATGCCCGGAGAGCAAAGGCTGGATTATTAAAGACGTGGAGACTGGGATCGTTCTGGCGACCAGGGATGTCACATTCTACGAAAACCTCAGCTACGTGGACTGGAAGGCAAGCAACACGGGCACAACTCCAAGGACAGCACCTGCCACACCTCAACGAGCGGAGGAACTGCTTGAAGATGCCCAAAACGAAGGCTTGGGGACAACGAACAACGAAGGGGAAGAAGATGAAGAAGAACATACCCAAGCTGGAGTGGATTGGGTGTGGGAGCCAACGGAGGATAAGCTCGACAACAGTGATATGGAAGCGGCGCCTGCAACTCCACTTCTGTCAAAATCAGCAAGCGACAAAGATGGAGACATTGGAGAGGATGAAGCTGAACAAGCAGATCAGTCAAGTACCGAGGGAAAAAGCGACCCGTGGGAATTTTTCGAGACGAGCAACAATGACAAAGGAGCTGCAGAGATTGACACCTTGCTGCAGGATGGAGCCATTCTTATTGGGAGAGAGGAAGACGGCACAAGCACGGAGAAAGCAGGGGAGATGGCAGCAGACACGGGTGCAAGTGATGCTTCGGTGAAAGGAGAGGAGCTGGGAAGGGGGAAGCGGACGAAGATACCGAATATAAAATACCAACAGGTCCTGATGACATGCTGGAAAGACGTGCACACTCACCTCCTCCTCACCTCAACGGTGACAGCGTTGATTACCAAGGAAAGGAGAGAGACTTACAATCTGCCGCATGAACCCTTGAGCATTGCGGAAGCACTCTCTGGACCGTACAAGGAGCAGTGGAAAGCAGCTATACAAGAAGAGTTGGACACTCTTGCGGAAAGAGGCACTTGGAAACTCGTCCAAATGCCCGAAGGGAGGCATGCCGTTGGCGTCAAGTGGATTTTCAAGATAAAAACAGGGGATAAGGGGCAGCTGGAGAGGTTCAAAGCACGGCTGGTGGCAAAAGGTTATACGCAAGTGGAGGGGATCGACTACACGGAGACATATGCACCAGTCAGCAAATTGACTACAGCGCGGACACTCTTCAAGATCGTTGCGGCACGCAACTACATCATGGTTCAACTTGATATCAAGAACGCTTTCCTCTATGGAGAACTTCAAGAGGACATCTACATGGATCAGCCTACAGGAATGAGGATGGGACTGACAGGAAATGCAAACTGCTGAAAGCGCTCTATGGGCTGAAATAGAGCCCTCGAGAGTGGTACAAGGCTATGGATGCACGCCTACTCGAAGGGGGATTTCAGAAAAGCCAATGCGACAGGGCGTTTTACTGGAAAGGCGAAGGAGAGGAGAAAGTCTACCTCCTACTCTACGTCGACGACATCCTAGTGGCTGGAGCTTTGGAGGACAGAGTTGAGGAAGTGTGTACTCACCTTGCAGCCGTTTTTCAAGTGAAGCAGATCCCGAGAGCCACGTTGTTCCTTGGCATGAACCTGGAGCGGGACCGAGAAGGGAAGAAGCTGTTACTCTACCAAAAGAAGTATATTCATCGGTTGCAAGAAAGGTTTGGAACACGGGACTGCACCAAGGCAGTGACCACTTCGCTCAGCAGCCTGTCAGAGAAAGAAGTCAATCCAGAAGAAGAACTCATCCAGTGGGGCAGCAAGGAGCAAGCATTGAAGGCTTACCAGTCACGGGTCGGATCGGTGATGTACCCTGTCTCTTGTATGCGGGTAGACGGTGCACATGCTGCCAGCTTCTTGGGGCAGAACGTGCTGCAGCCAGAAGGCCGCAAATGGAAGGAGATGCAGCGCACAATCACCTATCTGCAGCAACGGGGAGAAGAGGGGCTACTATACGAAGGCGGAGAAGAAGCAATGGAGTTAATCGGATACGCTGATGCATCCCATGCATCAGACAAGAAGGACAGGAAGGGACCTTTTGGATACGTCTTTCTCCTAGGCGGGACAGCAATCACATGGCAAGGGAAGAAGCTGAACGACATTGCACTCTCGAGCGTGGAAGCGGAATACATGGCGTTATTCTACGCATGCCAAGAAGGAGTGTGGCTAAGGCGATTGCTACAAGAAATGGGAGTACGTGTGCAAGGTCCAACAACCATCAGATCTGACAGCAAATCGGCCATAGCATTGGCGAAAAACGACAACTGGCACGGGCGGACCAAGCACATGGACATTAAATATCATTGGGTGCGTGAACAGCTAGAGAAAAAGGCATTTACCTTTGAGTTCGTACGCACAGAAGATCAAGCAGCCGACTTCCTTACTAAGGTCCTTCCGAAGGCTAATTTCGAGCGCTGCAAGTACCTTGTCGGGATGCGTACCTTGCAGGACTTACAGGGGAGCAGGGTGGAGGAACACTGATTAAGATTTTCAGATCTAAGGTTGGCAGAAGCAAACCACAGGGGAGATTGTTAGAAGTGGTTCGCCGCTGCACCGACTCTAGAGCATGAAAACGACAGAACAGGACACTTGGAAATTGCCTTACCTATGGCGGTGGGAGAGAATAGGCTGGAATAACGAGTTCTGACGGTGGGAAGAGTTAGGTGAAAGATCCTGAGGAAGATCTGGTGAAAACGAGGGTTTCAGGAGGAAGAGAAGGGAGAACGTTCTGGACCGCCAGAATGTTCCCAACCTTTCTGGAGGCGGTGTTCGGTGGAGTTGAAGAAAGGCGGTTTCACCGACGGTTCAGTTTGAATTTCGGTTTTCAATGCCGGTTACTGTTACGAAATTCGGATTCGCGACGAGGCGCGTTACGCGAGGCGCACATTGAAATTCGGATTTCAGATTGCTTAAATATCATGTTCTGTTTTCCTCATTGCATCAATTTTTCATAGTGAAACTTTCTGTTTGCAACCTGGGTTGGAAAGCAACCTGATTTCTCAACTTTCAGATCCAGTTTGAAGCCCGCTACTGCTACTTTCGTGACCTGCTAAGTCACGTACTCACTACGTCTAAGTCTCAGAGCGACCGCAGTTGCGACCGCGAATTCGACATTGTATGCGACTGCGACTGCGGCTGTCAATGCGGCAACGGTGCGACGCTGGCCTGACAAGGACGAATGCACTTTATCTCGAGCTTATTCCAGCATACCTCGTGCCTACTTAATACTTCCTCGTCTCGATTGTCAGTTTGCGTTCGAATGCAAGCATTCGTAACACTCAACTCAAGTGACACGCCGCGTGAAAGGCGATACGGTCTAGAAAGTCAGCTGTTCCCGCTCTTTTCCACCCACCCACTCTTCCATTTCGAACTGAAAATACGCTATGAGGCGCGGTACATTTGAAGAAAACTCCAGATTCGCGATGTTTCGATTCTTGAGGAACGTTGGCAATCTGTAGGAAATTCTGGCGATGCAAATATCGCGAAACTGGAAACGATGTCACACTGCTCACAGCCAGTCAGAGATTCCACACCGTAACATTCTGACTGTTCATTACAAGTTCTGTTCGCGAGCATGTCGAACACAGGATGAGCAGTGCCGAACATCTCGCGTGACAATGTGGTAACAGGAACGATGGTCCCGAGTTTCAAGATTGGGAAGACCCCAGTTCTAGTTTCAAGGATTAGTCGAAGCCGTCACCTCCTCCTCCAGTCCCATTCACCTCTCGCTATGTTCATTTCATTCTTTCTTCCTTTGGGGACAAAGCCAGAGCTTTGGTAGGGTAAAGCCTCAGAGTCAGGAAGCCTTCGTAGCTTGTTAGACCTTCCTGAATTGGCGTTCTTTCCTGCGTTCTTTCCACGGACAGAAACTAGTTCATATTCACTAGAACCACAGAAGCTCGTTCTTGATGTTAGCCGTTTATAGCTCAGAAGCCATGCCTCCCTCATACATCAACGCCCTCTCATATGACCTCCTCGCTAAGATCTTCTGGTATTCCCAAAAGCACGTCCCTTCTCGCCGTCAATCCGAAACCCGTAGTGATTCCATTGATTCCATCTTACCACGACCTAGGTACACCTCCGAAAACCCGTACGGCAACAACGCTACTATTAGTACAAGTACCGCTAATATTACTAGTCCGTTGTCAGCTCCTAATATCCTTACAGATCCAGCGTATAATCTCCTCATCGCGTCTGTCTGCAAGCGCTGGCGTCGCGTGGCTCGCCGTGAGGTCTCAATGCTCGTCGTGAAGAAAAACATTGCCGTATCGCTTCAAGATCTCACCACAGTCATCAAGTGCTTTCCGAACCTCTCCTATCTGCACCTCAGCGACAACAGCGTAGAAACTATCAACGACGCGTTTTTCGATTTCCTCGCTTCGACATGCCCTAATCTGGTGTCGCTGCACGTAGGAAGGGAGATCACGTCGAAATGGGACTATTTTCGGCCGGAGGAGCATCCGGTGACGGTAACCGGTTTGGACCGATTCATCCGCCGCTGCACTCAGCTGCAGCACCTCTCGCTCTACTGCTTGCACTATTACGGCGCGCTGCCGGATTCTCTCTCGCTGCTCACCAACCTTCACACCCTCGCTCTCACCGAAGGCTCGCTTCTCGAAGCTCCAGGATTCACAAACCTGACTTGTCTCACCGCCCTATCCATCGGTATTCCGGATATGGAAGATGTGAATCTCGAAAGCCTCGCGCATCTCCCAGCCGTCTCCACCCTCGTTTTATTCGACAACACATGCCCTACTATAGAAATCGGAGAAGCATTTAACCCCTTTTCATTCACCCAGATGCCGTCGCTTAAAGCCCTGGAGTTCGAGACGTGGTCTCCGCGGTTCGAGATCTTATTTCCATCAGGAAATTCGTTTAGTCGTCTCGAGCGGTTGCTTATCAAAGACTGCGACAGCCTCGAGCGGCTTCCTAACGACATTGGCGAACGACTGCCAGGCCTTCACGAACTGAGCTTGTGCGGATGCGAAAAACTTCTCGAGCTGCCCGATAACTTTGGAAATCTGCCCTCCCTGAAAACGTTGACGCTGAACCTCCTGCCTCTGTCAAGCCTTCCAGATTCGTTCACCCACCTGACATCCCTGGAAACCCTCTGCCTGTCTCACTGCGACGAAATCCTGGAGCTGCCTGCAAGGTTCGGTTGTCTCACCGCACTCAACTCCTTGAGTATCCTCGACTCAGACCTGAGGCTCCCAGACGACGTAGGCTCGCTCACCAACCTCCATTCTTTCCGGTTATCAGGAAGTTTCTCGCTGCTGCTGCTTCCATCCTCGTTCACGCAACTGTCTTCCCTCACAAGTCTCCATATCACCCAGTGCAGGATACTAAAAGAACTTTCGGAGGACGTGGGGAAGCTGAGTAACCTGCGGGCACTGACCATCCAATCCTGTCCCAATTTACAGAAGATTTCAGAGTCTCTCACTGACCTTATCAGCTTAGAGGTTCTGAAAGTTGTGGACTGCGATAGCCTTACTGCAATCCCCAGCAGCTTGAGCAACCTTAGCAGGCTGAAATTTTTGGCACTAGCCAAGCTCCCCCGGCTAGAAGAAGTATCGGGATCCCTGCCCTGCTCCCTCGAGCTTCTCTCTTTAGGGAGTTTCAAGCGACTCACCTCTTTGCTGGAAACCCCTGCACTTCCAAAGCTGAGGGAGTTGAGCTCGACCAGTGAACTGCTTAAGGGTGGGCTGGCCGCTGGCTTGACTCTGCCCTCTCTAGAGCACTTAGAGCTGGAGTTCGTCTCATATACAAAGCAGTTTCCGTTGCCTCTTGAATCCCTTTCTAAGCTCCGCCGTTTAACAGTCCAAAATACTGGTTGGATGTAGAAGCTTCCGGAAGGACTTGGTTCGGCCCTGCAGCAGCTGAGGCGGCTGGAGATACGATGGGCTGCGGATGTAACAAAATTGCCAGACGGTTTGACCGAGCTTCAGTCTCTGACGTCCGTTGAGATCCATGCACCTAGAATTTCATCTCTTCCGGACGGCATCGGGGCTCTATCGCGGCTGAGGCAGCTGAATCTTGAAGAATGCTCATCGCTCACCCAACTCCCTGCTTCTCTCACCCAGCTTTCCTGCCTTCATGAGCTGAATCTCAGCTGCACAGCCATACGCTCCTTGCCATGCCAATTTGGACAGCTGAGCCGGCTTAAGAAACTTAAGCTGGATGGATGCGAGGAGTTGGCTGCTCTGCCGGAGGATTTTACCCAGCTCAAGATGCTACACAGCTTGTCTGTTAAAGGGTGTGGCAAGATTGTACCAAAAGGTGTGAGAGACATGTATGGGTTGCAGGTTCATACTGATTGTGATTGAGATCCGTTTTTAGGTTTCTCTTTTTGAGATATCAAATAGTATGAAGCACTTTCTGATCTGCGCATTCAATGTCTACATTTTCTATTTCTGCTTTATTGTATGAAGAAGTATTTCCTAGTATTCTGAGGAGCTATACTAGCCTCCGGTAAGCCCAGCATTGAATGGAGTTGTCATTTTCAGGTTTAAAAATACGGTAAGGGAAACAGGTCCAAAGGAGAACCTGCTTGGCATGGAAGAAAAAAAAGAAAGCCCGAGAGAAAGAATGTCGGTGCTGGGATTCGAGCCCAGGTCTCCACGGCCACAACGTGGGATCCTAACCACTAAACTACACCGACATGCAATGGTAACCATAAGTAAACAATATATATACATTTTATCAATTTGACTGCCCGGACTTTTCCTGTCAAGAATTTCAGGGGTTGGTGTTTCCTGCACCTGTTCCAAATTCAAACACCTACCGTTTTAAACCGTCTTATAAATTCCTCGTTTCGTGTACAACCTCTGTGTACCGTGAATCTGACCTCCCATACCATCATTCCTACCACATGTGAATCTGACAGAATTTGTCACCATCTGATCACAGCAGAGCGTCAGTTTCTGATGGATCAACTCCGCAACGAGAGGCGAGGAATGCAGCACTTATTCCTCGGTTTTCGCTAAGTGAAGTCTTCGTTAAGTTCTTGTTGCGTTACGACGACGAGCTCTTGCGGATCCAGTCGGCCTTGAGTCCCGGTAGACAAAGGAATTTTAATATCCTTGGATCGCGACGCGCTACCATGTCTGCGTGTACTGCCCAAATGTCCTCCATCTCCCCCGCCCGCTCCGCTAACTGGTCCAGTAACCGTAGCGCAGCCAGTAACCACGTCCGCGAATCTTCGCGAACCGTCGCGGGCGGCCTGTCCAGTAGGGCTGCGGTAAGTCAGTTAGAATTCGAGCAGTTGATTGGTTGACTTTTCTTCTTGGCGCATCAACAACCGTCTCTCGTAGTTACTGGAACTCACCTCGTTATTCAGTAGTCAAGCAGTTGTCTCACGCTCAGCAGCGCGCCAAGGGTTTACCCCCCATCAGCGAGCCAACTTGACCCCCCTAAACCTCCCATGCCGTTTCCCCATCGGCGTTTTGAAATTCGAAGAAACCGACTCGATCGTTCTTCCCCGTTTCCTGCTCCACTCGCTCCTCTCTTTGAGATGAGTCGATTTTTGAGTCGATTCAAGAAACCGACTCGATCGTTCTTCCCCCTTTCCTGCTCCACTCGCTCCTCTCTTTTGCGAAGGACGTTCGGAGGACTGGCTCGCGGAATGGCAGAGCCAGGGCGGCGAGGCTGGTTCGGTGTGTGTCCGAGCCTAAAGTGGAGGCTCGGTCTGCCGAGGAGGTGCTTGCATCTCAGCCGTCGTTTCTTCGCCACATCGCAGATCATGTGAGTGCAGATTTCAGAGTTGAATTGTTGCAACCATCATCCGTCCCACTCCCACTTCCCCTCCCACTCCCATTCCCACTCCCACTCCCCACTCTTACTCCCACTCCCCACTCCACTCCCACTCCCATTCCCACTCCCACTCCCACTCCCAACCCCATTCCCACTCCCACTCCCACTCCTGCTTCTTCCCTCCCCTTGTCTGCAATCAAGGGGCTTGTTCCCTTGTTTCTTCGCCACATGGCCGATCATGTGAGTGCACATGGCCGATCATGTGAGTGCAGCCCTGAGAGATCCTGCACCTATCATCCCTCCGTCCGAATCTCACTCCCACTCCCACACCCACTTCCACTCCCCACTCCCACTCCCACACCCACTTCCACTCCCCACTCCCACTCCCACACCCACTTCCACTCCCCACTCCCACTCCCACGCCCATTCCCTATAAACCCCAAACCCTGAACCCAGCCGCATCCCTCCCCTCCTCTGCTTTCATGTATGTTGCGACATTTGAGGGGCCTCAACATCCGTTCGTGGACACCCACTTGCACCTCTTTCCCCCTTCTCTCCCCTCTTTTCCCTCCTCTCCCACTCTCCTCTCCGCTCTGCTCCCCTCCACCCCGTCACCTCTTTCTCCCTAATCTCCTCCCACACACACAACCCCCTCCCATTCACCCGCGGTGTCATCGACACAGTACAACCCCTCTCACTTCCCCCTCCACTAGGGCACCCCCCTGCCATTCACCCTGCGAGTCATGAAAATGTTCCGGTCAACTTAGGGCTGTACAGCAACCAGGCGTGCCCACCCCTTCACCTGGCTCCCTATTTTTCTCATTCCCCCCTCCATTAGGGCACCCCCCTGCCATTCGCCCGGCGTGTCATTGAGACTGTTAAAGTCAACATCGGCCTGTATTGCAACCAGGCGTGCTAAATACCTCTACTATGTCCCTCCGCCCCTTCCCCCTTTCACCAGGGCACGCCCCTGCCCTTCACCCGTCGAGTCATTGAGACTGTTCAAGTCAACATCGGGCTCTACTGCAACCAGGCGTGTCAGCACTGCCACGTGGACTCCTCCCCTCTCAGAACCGAGATGATGGAGCACAGAACAGCAGAGAGGGTGGTGAGTGCTGGAATGCGTTGCAATTATCAAACCGTAAGCCCCCAGCTTCTTGCTTGTACTGCAACCAGGCGTGCCAGCACTGCCACGTGGACTCCTCCCCTCTGAGAATGGAGATGATGGAGCACAGAACAGCAGAGAGAGTGGTGAGTGATCTTTCTCTATCCCCAGACCCTGCAAGCCCCAGACCCTGCAAGCCCCAAACCCTGCAAGCCCCAAACCCCCAGCTGAAAGCTTGATTAGGTCAACATAGGCCTGTACTGTACTGCAACCAACCAGGCGAGCCGGCACTGCCACGTGGACTCCTCCCCTCTGAGAACAAAGATGATGGATCACAGAACGGCAGAGAGAGTGGTGAGTGCTGGAACACCGTATAGGCCAGTGCTTGCTCACTGTCTCTCCTCTTTCAACAAGCCAGCAGCACTGCCACGTGCACTCCTCCCCTCTGAGAACCGAAATGATGGAGCACAGAACGGCAGAGAGGGTGGTGAGTGGCCTCCCTATCCCAACCAGCATTGAAGCCCTACCAGCTAGCCTGTACTGTTCTGCAACCAACCAGGCGTGCCAGCACTGCCACGTGGACTCCTCCCCGCTCAGAACCGAGATGATGGATCACAGAACGGCAGAGAGGGTGGTGAGTGATCTCCCTGTTCCGTCAACAAGCCAAGCCAGCACTGCTATGGGCTCTGTCTGCTCTCCTCCCCTCTCAGAACCGAGATGATGGATCATAGAACAGCAGAGAGAGTGGTGAGAGCACCCATCCCAGCCAGCAGTGAAGCCCGAAGCCTTACCCCCAAGCCCCAAACCCTAAGCCCCAAGCTTGAAGCCTGTATTGCAACCAGGCATTCCAGCACTGCCACGTGGACTCCTCCTCTCTGTGAACCGAGACGATGGATCATAGAACGGCAGAGAGAGTGGTGAGAGCATTCACAATGCGGCTAGCCCTACCTCGATTCACAATGCGGCTAGCCCTACCTATACACGCTAAGCTGCGACCCACCCACTGCCCGATTTTCCCTGAAGCCCAAGCTTCAAGCTTCAAACCCCAATTCTTAAGTTTGAAGCCTCAACCCTAGCACGCCTTCCTTCCCCTCTCCACTCCTCGCCCCCTTCCGCCCCCCCATTCCCTCCCCCACTTTTCAATCCAATCCCCTGCAGGTGCAGCTGGTGTCAGGTTGCCCAAGTGTGCCCTTTATGGAAACATCCTGCAGGCAGGTCTTTCAGGAAACGTGTCCCACGCCCCCTCTCTCCCCATTTTTTTTCCCCTTCCGCTCCCCCTTCCCTCCCCCATTTTTCAATCCAATCCCCTTGCAGGTGCAGCTGGTGTCATCCTGTCCAAGTGTGCGCTGTGTTGACCTCACAGGGGGGGCACCTGAGCTTAACCCTGAGTTCAGGTGAGAACAACAGAGGGGCTTAGCCTCAGGTGGTTTCATTAATGCGGGGAGGAACCTGAGCAATCAACTAGTCAGGTTTGATCGTTCCTTGCGGGTGGAAGCCTAGGTTACAATGCGAGTGACTTCTCAGGTATCTGTTCAGGTGGCCAAAGTTTTTCATGATGAAGCGGCTATGTTCAGAAAGACGCGTCCTGCGTCCTGGACGCATGCGTCCAGACGCATGCGTCCAGACGCAGGACGCTGACCCTTGACCTGTAAGACGCACCAAAAGACGCAAGCCCGGGCAGGGCAAAAAAAACCCCCGGGCAGGCCAAAAAAATTGTATAGGGCTTGGGAGAGGGGGGGCGGGGGGGTGTCATACCACAAAATTTCCCCAACCACAAAATTTTCCCCAACCACAAAATTTTCAACACTCTTAGACGCGGTGGAAGAAGAAGGAATGGTCGAGGAAGCCATAGCGGAGTTTAGGTGGTAAGCTAAGCTAAGACCTAAAACCTCTATGGGTTTACGAAAGAGAATTGGTGAAGGGAAAATGAGAAGCCACAAAAGGTTGCCATGCTAAATGTGCTTGGTGGTGGTGGGCTACAAAGGTTGGGATTCGTAGATGCTAAGTGGTTGAGAGGTTTGAGTGAAATTCAATTTTGGTTTAGTTGTTAGGGAATGTTAGGGGGGCTGGTTTTGAATGGCGAATTGGGCTTGGGGTGGGGAAATTTCGCGATTTCGACATTCGCGTCGAAATCGCGAATGCCAAAATCGCAATCGATTTTTTTTTTCGGGCTGCCCGAAAATTTTTTCGACGTGCGTCCTGCGTCCTAGCGTCCGGACGCTGCGTCCGGACGCAGGACGCAGCGTCCTAGCTGCGTCTTTCCGAACATAGTGAAGCGGTTAGAGTGCGCAAGTATCTGCGCGAAGATTGACTGCAAGGAATCTGAATGGTCAAGGAGGTGATTCAATGATTGACTGAAATGCAATCATTGCAAACGCACTGAAATACATGCCACTGCCGCCATCCCATACCTCTCCACTGCATCTCACCGCACTGCACCTCCAGGTACCTGGTCACAGAGGCACGCAGAATGGGCAAGGAGGTGATCGACCGCTGCAACCTCACTGTGCTGTTTGAGCCGGGGCAAGAGGTGAGGAGAGGGGAGGGTAGGAGAGGGTAGGGGATGAGGTTGGGAGTAAGGAGCTGAGAGTGGGGAGACGTGAATGCGGGCAAGGAGGTGATCGACCGCTGCAACCTCATTGTTCTGTTCGAGCCGGGGCAGGAGGTGAGGAGGGGTGAGGAGGGGTGAGGAGAGATGAGAGTAGTTGACGTGGATGGAGTGTGTGTACCAGTGCAGTAAGGGTGAGGAGATAAGGTGATTGATTCCCTGCTTCCCTTTGTGTGTGTCTCCCATGCGTATATATGCATGTGAGCAGGGTTTGGCAGAGTTCCTGGCGGCCAATCAGGTCCATGTGACTGCTGAGCCATCTCATTTCTTCCGTTTCCCTTCCATCCATGGATACATGCGTGTCTGAGCAGGATTTGGCAGAGTTCCTGGCAGGCGATCACGTGCATGTGGTGGCATTGCTCCCACGTCTCACGCCCACTGCCTGTCTGCCTCCCTGTGTGCATGCATGTGTTTGTGTGCGTGCGTGCGTGCGTGCGTGTGTGCGTGCGTGCGTGCATGTTTCCCGTGTGTGGATCTGTCTGAGTAGGATTTGGCAGAATTCCTGGCAGCCAATCAGGTGCATGTGGTGGCGTCTCTCCCGTGCTACTCTGCTGATAACGTCAACAAGCAGGTATGCGCGTCATGCATAGAGCTGGTTGCTGTCAGAGTTGGGGGGGGATGGCTGTCAGTCAGGGTGGTAACCCTTCATCAGCTGATAATGTCAACAAGCAGGTATGCCCGTCATGCATAGAGCTGGTTGCTGGCAGGGTTGGGGGGGGATGGCTGTCAGTCAGGGTGGTAACCCTTCATCAGCTGATTATGTCAACAAGCAGGTATGCCCTTCATGCACTGGGTGGAAGACAGCGTGGGCGGGTTTGGTGAGTGGAGGGCCTTTATCAGTTGGTGTGGGTGGGGGGTTGTTGTTAGGGGGGAGTATTTGACCTCTGCATCAAGCATCAACAGCGCCTCACCCAACGGCGCTTCACCCAACGGCGCAGCGGCGCTTCACCCATGCATATTCTCTCCTTCACCCATGCATATTCTCTCCTTCACCCATGCATATTCTCTCCTTCACCCATGCATATTCTCTCCTTCACCCATGCATATTCTCTCCTTCACCCATGCATATTCTCTCCTTCACCCATGCATATTCTCTCCTTCACCCATGCATATTCTCTCCTTCACCCATGCATATTCTCTCCTTCACCCATGCATATTCTCTCCTTCACCCATGCATATTCTCTCCTTCACCCATGCATATTCTCTCCTTCACCCATGCATATTCTCTCCTTCACCCATGCATATTCTCTCCTTCACCCATGCATATTCTCTCCTTCACCCATGCATATTCTCTCCTTCCTCCCGCACCTGTATCCCCCCGCTTGCTCATATCCTCCTCTCTCAACGCGTGCTGGTGGGAAACAGAGGGGAGGGGGAGTGTTTGACCTCAGCATCAAGGCGCTTCACCCCCCTTCATACGTATCGAACATTCCCTCCTTCCTCCCGCACCTGTACCCCTTCTCCCTTTGCTCATATCCCCCTCTGTCAATGCGTGTATGTGTGCATCAGAGGGGAGGGGGAGTGTTCGACCTCAGCATCAGGGCGCTTCAGCTTCTCAACGGCCTGGGGTAGGTGCAATGGAATGCAGTGCGGTGTAGTGCGCTGCAGTGGGTTGCAGAAGTGCAGTCTTCGTGTTTGCTGGTTGCTAGCTCAGCATCAGAGCGCTTCAGCCTCTCAGGTGCAGTGGAATGCAGTGCGGTGTGCTGGTGTGTGATGCAGTGGGGTGGGGTGCAATGCGTTTAATTCGTTTGTCGACTAAAAAAAGTGCTCGGTGCAGTGGGATGCAATGTGATTGAGTGCGAGTTTTGTGGAATGGAGTACGGTGCAGTGCAGTGTAGGGCTGGCTAGCTGAAAGCCTTTTGAGCTGATTCTCTGACAAGTCACTTGCTCAAAAGTTAGAGATGAGTGCGGTGAGATGCATGTGTGCGGCCGCTCACGAGCTCAGGGCCGAGTGCGGTGGAATGCGATGGGATGCGATGCTGTTGGGGGGGAACCGAGTGCAAATGGGATGTACAGTGGCATCTGCAAAGGGTCTTTCAAGTAAAGGATTGATACTGTCTAATCCTATAAGTTCTTCTTAATCCTGTCTAATTTTTTTTAGTTGACTCAAACAACCAATTCGACTTGATTTTGTCTAGATTCTATTATTTTGGAAGGAGACTGTTTTTTCCTTCCGTTGACCCTTGATCCTTCCCCTAGCATCCTCCCTTGCCGAACCTGCATTTCAGGTACGGCAAGGAAGGCTCGGGTTTGGTGCTAGACCTGGTGTACAACCCGGTTGGGCCGTTCCTCCCCCCTGCTCAAGCCAAGCTGGAGGAAGCATACAAGGTGAGACGAGACGAGAAGGGGTGTGGTAAGGTGCGGTGGGGTGGGGTGGGGTGGGGTGGGATGGGATGGGATGGGCTGGGATGGGTTGGGATGGGATGGGACGGGATGGGGTGGGGTGGGGTAGGGTGGGATGAGATGAGATGGGATTTATGTGCTGCTGCTGGGAACCCTTACCCTTCCAAGCCCCTCCATACCTCCCCATACCCTTCTCTGAGCGAGTTGATGCCATGCTATAGCATATCGTTCAACCAGCAGTCTCCTTTCCCCCTTTCCTAACACCTCCACTGTCCCATACCTCTCCATAACCCTCCCCACCCCTCAATACCACTCCATCCATACCTCTCAGAGCGAGCTGATGTCATGCTATGGCATATCGTTCAACAGCCTTTTCACCATCACCAACATGCCTGTCAAGAGGTGCGTGGTAGGTCGAGTTGGTAATGAGTGGTGAGCAGTGGTGAACAGGGATGAACAGGGGTGAACAGGGGTGAACAGGGGTGGACAGGGGTGAACAGGGTTGAACAGGGGTGAACAGAGCTGGAGCGGAGGGTGGTATTCAGTGCATATCGCTGAACAGCCTCTTCACCATCACCAACATGCCTGTCAAGAGGTGAGTGGTCGGTAGGCAGTGAAGTGAGCGGTGAACAGGGGTGAACAGGGATGAACAGAGCTGGAGGGGAGGTGATAATCAGTGCATATCGTTCAACAGCCTGTTCACTAACATGCCTGTCAAGAGGTGAGTGGTAAAGAGGGGTGAGCAGGTGTGAATGGGGGTGAACTGAGGTGAAGAGAGGTAACGAGAGGTTTGATGGGTGGTGAACAGAGAGTATCGTTCAACAGCCTTTTAACCATCACCAACATGCCTGTCAAGAGGTGAGTGTTGAGTGGATGTTGGGTGGTGCGTGGTGAGCAGGGGTGAACAGGGGTACATAGAGGTGTGGTGTGGGTGGTGAGCAGGGGTGAACAGGGGTACATAGAGGTGTGGTGTGGGTGGTGAGCAGGGTTGAACGGAGGTACAGAGAGGTGTGGTGGGGGGTGGTGAGCATAGCATATCATTCAACAGCCTGTTCGCCGTCACCAACATGCCTGTCACGAGGTGATTATCGGACAGAGATGAAGAGAGGTGTTTGGTGGTGAGTGGTTGACAGAGGTGAGCAGGGTTGAGCAGAGGTGCCTGTCAAGAGGTGAGGGTTGGGCAGGCACAGCTGTTGCTTCACCAACATTCCTTCACCAGCCAGGCACAGCTGCTGCTTCACCAACATGCCTTCACCAGCCAGGCACAGCTGCTGCTTTCATCATTCCATGCATTCACCAGCCAGGCACAGCTGCTGCTTTCATCATTCCATGCATTCACCAGCCAGGCACAGCTGCTGCTTTCATCATTCCATGCATTCACCAGCCAGGCACAGCTGCTGCTTTCATCATTCCATGCATTCACCAGCCAGGCACAGCTGCTGCTTTCATCATTCCATGCATTCACCAGCCAGGCACAGCTGCTGCTTTCATCATTCCATGCATTCACCAGCCAGGCACAGCTGCTGCTTTCATCATTCCATGCATTCACCAGCCAGGCACAGCTGCTGCTTTCATCATTCCATGCATTCACCAGCCAGGCACAGCTGCTGCTTTCATCATTCCATGCATTCACCAGCCAGGCACAGCTGCTGCGTTCATCATTCCATGCATTCACCAGCCAGGCACAGCTGCTGCGTTCATCATTCCATGCATTCACCAGCCAGGCACAGCTGCTGCGTTCATCATTCCATGCATTCACCAGCCAGGCACAGCTGCTGCGTTCATCATTCCATGCATTCACCAGCCAGGCACAGCTGCTGCTTTCATCATTCCATGCGTTCACCAGCCAGGCACAGCTGCTGCTTTCATCATTCCATGCATTCACCAGCCAGGCACAGCTGCTGCGTTCATCATTCCATGCATTCACCAGCCAGGCACAGCTGCTGCTTTCATCATTCCATGCATTCACCAGCCAGGCACAGCTGCTGCTTTCATCATTCCATGCATTCACCAGCCAGGCACAGCTGCTGCGTTCATCATTCCATGCATTCACCAGCCAGGCACAGCTGCTGCTTTCATCATTCCATGCATTCACCAGCCAGGCACAGCTGCTGCTTTCATCATTCCATGCATTCACCAGCCAGGCACAGCTGCTGCTTTCATCATTCCATGCATTTCTTTGTTCATTTTTGAGTCGACTCAAAAGTCACCAGCCAGGCACAGCTGCTGCTTTCATCATTCCATGCATTCACCAGCCAGGCACAGCTGCTGCTTTCATCATTCCATGCATTTCTTTGTTCATTTTTGAGTCGACTCAAAATTCACCAGCCAGGCACAGCTGCTGCTTTCATCATTCCATGCATTCACCAGCCAGGCACAGCTGCTGCTTTCATCATTCCATGCATTTCTTTGTTCATTTTTGAGTCGACTCAAAAGTCACCAGCCAGGCACAGCTGCTGCGTTCATCATTCCATGCATTTCTTTGTGCATGTCTCTCCGTGCCTCCATTCTTGTATGTACGTCCTGCCACGGATGAGCAGTTTTGAGACGCCTCGAAACTAAATTGTGCATGTCTCTCTGCCCCTCCATTTGTGCCCGTACATCCTACCGCGTGTGATGAGTCGATTTTTGAGTCGACTCAAAAATCGACGCATGTCTTTCTGCCCCTCCGTTTGTGTCTGTACATCCTACCACAGATTCGCTTCGTTTCTGCATAGCCAGGGCCAACTCGAGGACTACATGCAGCTGCTGGTAAGCCTTGTATAGGAGTTGCTTATATGGAGTGCAATTGTGTTCGCATTGCTTCTGCATAGGCAGGGTCGATTCGAGGACTACATGCTGCTGCTGGTAAGTCTTGTAGTGGAGCTGCTTGTATGGTGTACACGTTATGGCTATATGCTGGTGCCGTCAGGAGAGTGAGATGACACGTCACCTATGCAGGCCACCGCCCTCAACCCACCGGCAGTAGGCAACGTGATGTGATGTGCCGGAACTTCATCCGCTAATGTAGTGGCAAACGTTGACCCAACCCAACCATTCCTCTCCCATTCTTCCTCCCTGCCTCCCCCCTCACCCACGCAGACCGCTTCCTTCAACCCACCAGCAGTGGGCAATTTGATGTGTCGAAACCTCACTGGTGATTCAACATCACATGTCGCCCCCCCACCACTTTCCACCCCATTCCACCCCACCCACGCAGATCTCTGCCTTCAACCCAGCAGCAGTGGGCAATGTGATGTGCAGAAACCTGATCAACATTGACTGGTGCGTGGGAGAGGAGAGGTGGAGGGGGGAAGAGGGAGGAGAGAAGGGGGGTTGATGCACGCATGCATGTGACTAGTATGTGCATTCAACCCGGCAGCAGTGGGCAACGTGATGCGCCGAAACCTGATCAACATTGACTGGTGCGTGGGAGAGGGGCAGAAGGGGGGTTACTGTGTCCATGTGACTGGTGTGTGCGTTCAACCCTGCAGCAATGAGCAACATGATGTGCACAAACCTGATCAACATTGACTGGTGCGTCTGTGGGAGAGAAGGGACAACAAGGGGTGATGGGAGGAGAGGGGGAGGGGGTAGAAAAGGAGGCGGGGGGGGGGGGTGGTGGTTGGGAGGGTTTTGCAGGCAGGGCGCCCTCTCCTCTTGTGAGGCGCCTGAACAACGACTTTTGAGGCTCCTCAAAAGATGCAGGCAAGGCGCCCTCTCCTCTTGTTTTCCATTCTCCCCTCCCACACTGCGGGCAAGGCACTCTGTGATTTCAACCAGCAGCTCGCCCTCCGCGTTCCCTGCAAACCATCCAATGCAACCAGCGGTGCCTTCCCTGCTCTCCCTTCCCTGTTCTCCTTTTTTCTCTGCTTCCCTTCTCTCGCCTCTGCTCACCCAACCCACCACAGGCAAGGCGCTCTCTTCGACTGTGGCTTCAACCAGCAGCTCGCCCTCAGCCTTCCCCCCAAACCACCCACTGCAACCGACTCTCTTCTCTCTTCTCTCCTTCCTCTCCTCCCATTCGGAATTCCCTCTTACAGGCAAGGCGCTCTCTTCGGCTGTGATTTCAACCAGCAGCTCGCCCTCGCCCTTCCCTTCGAACCACCCACTGCAACCAGCCGTCCCCTCTCTGCTCTCCAATCTTATTCTGTGTCCCCTTCTCGCCTCTGCTCACCCAACCCACCGCAGGTAATGCGCTCTCTTCGACTGTGACTTCAACCAGCAGCTCGCCCTCAGCCTTCCTCCTTTTTCTCCCCTTCTCTTTCCTCATTTCCCAGGCTCCTCTCTGCTCCTTCACACCGCAGGCAGGGCGCCCTCTTCGGCTGTGGCTTTAACCAATAGCTCGCCCTCGCCCTCGGCCTTCCTCCCAAATCATCTAGTGCAACCAACTCTCCCCTCGCCTCGCCTCTTGTTTCCCCTTCTCTCCTCCACCACCCACTCGCTGCAGGCAAGGCGCACTCTTCGACTGTGACTTCAACCAGCAGCTCGCCCTTGGCCTTCCCCCTAAGCCATCCGCTGCAACGAACTCTCCCCTCGCCTCTCCTCCACCTCCTCCGCCTCGCACAGTTTTCGACGTCCAATCACTGGATGAGCTTGTTGATCGCCCCATAGCCACAGCAGCGCACTGCTACGGGTGAGTGGGTTGTGTTCCTCTCTCCTCTCCTCTCCTCAATCTCCCACCCCCCTGATCCAATCACTGGATGAGCTTGTGGATCGCCCCATAGCCACAGCAGCGCACTGTTATGGGTGAGTGGTTCTTGTGCTGTCTCTTGTAACTGTGAGCGTGTGACCATGTTAGTGTGTGCTGCATGCTCCCCCTCCCCGCTCTGTCTTCGACATCCAATCGCTGGACGAGCTTGTGGATCGCCCCATAGCCACGGCAGCACACTGTCACGGGTGCGTATGTGTCCAATCAACATTCCTCTGCCCAGGTCATCTCCTCTCCTCCACTTCCTCCTCGCCTCTAACCTCGCTCTGTGTTTGACATCCAATCAATGGATGAGCTTGTGGATCGCCCCATAGCCACAGCGGCACATTGCTACGGGTGAGTGGGTGATGTCTTGCCTCTTGTAACTGTGAGCTTGTGAGTGGTTGCAGCGTGCTTCTCTTCTCCCCTCTTGCCTCTGCTCCTCCTCCCCCGCCTCGCTCTGTCTTTGACATCCAATCACTGGAGGAGCTTGTGGATCGCCCCATAGCCACAGCAGCACATTGTTACAGGTGAGTTACTGAGTACTGATTATACCTTTTTTTTTTCTTTTTTTTTTGTGCTGCGTATCTGTAGTGAGCAGATATAGCGTGTGTTGTGAATCAAAGGAACTTGTTGACCAGCCGACTCATAACCACTGAAACACAATACTTCGACAAGCAAGCTGCTGGTTTTCTGTATCTTTGGAGTCTACTGTAAAGGCCACTCTTAATCGACTCCATGAATCATTGACTGCTTCTTTTTGCTTTATTCCTTCATGCCTCTTTGCAGATGTACAGCTGGCAGCGGTTCCAGCTGTACTGGCGCAGTTGTATAGCAGCAGATGGGATAGTGTATCCTACAATGGTTGAACTTCAGTATGTTTCTATCTAGTCGTGTCGTGTCTCTAGATTTTCTCTCTCAGAATTCTCAGAATGGGGCACTTGGTCTCCTGTTAGGAAAGCATCATCCTAGTGCTTCTTACTCTCAATGGGTGGAAGCAAATAGTTGTGATTAGCGAATCCGTTTGTAAGAGTGTTCACTGCATCATGTTTTTCTCCCTGTCACCATCTGCTGTGATATCGCTAGGTAAAAACTTTTATTCGCAAACTGCAGTGACTTCTTCGCCAGCCATTCCCGCCGTAACAGAGCAGCATTCAGGGGCAGTCTGCTGGACCGCATAGCCCTGAACTTCTGAACAACTTGGGAAGAAACGCGCGAAAAGTGTTTGCGAAAAGTAAGGGCATAGCATGACTCGGAAGAAACTCGCGAAATGATTGCGTGGCGTCGCACGACGAGCTTTGTGACTCGGCGCGACTCAAATTCCGTGCATTGCTGTCCTGACAACTCACCCACATTCCTCGCACAGCTTTGGCTGACGACTGGATCTTACCTCCCACCCCCCCGCGCCCTTCCCAGACATCGCCTTCCACATTTACTTCGCTCCACTTCTGTTGTGTCTCATCAATCCCAGCTTGTTTACTCTCACAGCTATCCAGGTAGCCTTTTCCGTAAAGCACGAATTCGTCAGCTATATTTACCAATTTCTGCAACTCTTCGCCTCTAGTTTCGAAATCTCAACGTCTGTTGTTATAGCGAGTAAGCAGAACTTCTGCTACGTTCCTTTTTATGCTTAGTCGCATTCGATAGGTACTACTAGTAGTACCGACGACTCGTCGGACGCATCACCCAGCGCCGATGGCGGACGGAAAAACTCCTAAGCGCTTCTACGAACACTCCTCGCGACTCTCCTTCTCTCCTGCCTTCTGCTCCCACTCGCTCCGGTGCGCGCGTTCGACTTGGACTGCGCAAACGAGGCCAGCGAGTCCGTTGCCGTGCTGAGCTTCTGTAACGGCAACGGGTGGCGTCGCACGTGTCTCTACGGCGGCGGTTATGCCACGGACGGTTCCGGAGAGTGCACGCTCGTTCAATCCGGTGCGCTTTACTGCGAGGACTGCCAAGGGAATGCGCACAAACTCGAGCGTTGCTGCGATATCGTAGACCTCCGAGTTTCCGATTCCGGTTACGAGCTAAGCGCCGGCCAACAGGCCAACACGTATGACATTGAATGGGGAATCGGTCTGCTACAGTGCCCAGGGAATACGGGCTGTGCTACATCTGGTTACCCGCAGTGTAACGGGGGTGGGTTCGACGGTATTAATTCGTGGTTCGGGTTAGATAAATATTCCTATGTGCAAGGTTATGAATTTTGCCCCGAATTCAGGGGAACGATACTGCGCGGGCTCGAGCCCCGCGGGGACAGCAGCGGCGGAGTGAAGCTGCGCGAACTAGAGCGTCCGTGGGAGGAATCCGCCGCTGAGGCGGACGAGATCCGCGCAGAACCGCCGCGCCCGATTGCTCCCCTCGGCGACGGCGCACTGGCGGGCGGAAAGGCCAAGATGAGCCGCCGCCTATGGGGAAGCGGGCGCCCCTGGCCCCCCCCGAAGATGTATAGCCGCCGCCTGTGGGGGAGTGGGCGCCCTTGGTCTCCCCCAAAAATGTACAGCCGCCGCCTGTGGGGAAGCGGGAGGCAGTGGTACCCGTAGTGGTACCCGTGGCCGCCCTGTCCGTGGGAAGGAGGTTAGATTGATGGAGGTTGTTTAGTTCTGAGGCACATGCTTAGTTGAGCATTTCATTATTTTTTAGGTGCCTAAGAAGTCTGTTAAGGTTTTTTTAGGTGCCTAAGAAGTCTGTTGAAGTTTTTTTTGGCACCTCAGAAGTCTGCTTATGGTTTTTGAGGCACCTCAGAAGTCGGTTTATGGTTCTTGAGGCACCTCAGAAGTCCGTTTTTGGTTTTTGAGGCACCTCAGAAGTCTGTTTCGGTTTCCTGGTGATCTCAGCTCAACGGAGTGTAGGGGAGAGTGGGGGTGTGAGGGATACATGCAGTACCTGAATGCAGATTATACATGACTTTCTATTATTGTTGAAAAAAGTGGAAAGGGGTGAGCAGCGAGTAACAGGGGTTAACGGAAATGAAGAGTTGTGTGTTGGTTCGTGGGCAGGGCATATCGTTCAGCACCCTCTTGACCATCACCAAACATGCCTGTCAAGAGGTGAGTGGTGGTGGTGAGTGGTGAACAGGGGGAAACTGTGGTGAAGGGGGGGTCAAGAGGGTTCTGTTGGGTTGTGAGCAGATCATATCGTTCAGCACCCTCTTGACCATCACCTAACATGCCTGTCAAGAGGTGAGTGGCCGGTAGTGAGTGGTGCGCAAGGGTGAACAGGGCTGGGTTGGGTGGTACTCGGTGCATATTGTTTCAACAGCCTCCTCACTATCACAAAAGCTTTCACTAAAGTTCTCTTCGTTTCACTATCATCAGAGGCTTCACCAATAGCCTCTCTCTTTGTTGAGAAAACGAAAAACTAAAGCCTGTCGGGCTGTTCACCATCACCAACACGCCCGGTGAGTGATGAGCGGTAGTGAGTGGTTGACAGAGGTGAACAGAGGTGAGTAGAGCATGTTTCTCAACATCCTGTTCACTATCACTAACATGCCTGTCAAAAGTGGGTTATTGTGAGAGGCATGATGGGTGGCGGGTGGTGAGTGGTGTACGGTGAGCGGTGAACAGAGAATATCGCAGCCTGTTCACCATCACCAACATAACTGTCAAGAGGCGAGTTGTGAGTTGAAAGTGGTGAACAGAGGTGAGTAGAGGAGAGGAGAGATGAACAGGAGTGAGCAGGGGTCAGCAGAGGTGCGCACGCAGTGGTGTGCAGAGGTGTGCAGAGGTGTCCAGCGAGCTGAGGCGAACAGAGCCTGTTGCTCAAAAGAGGGGGTCACTGAACCTCAAACCGTCACCAACGTTCCTGACAAGTGGGGTTGAAGGAAACTGAACGGTGATTGTTTGGAGAGAGCAAGGGAATACGTCGTTGGAGAGATTGGGTTGACCAGATTTGGAATTCCCTCCAACACTACTGGTTGGCCCGATGGATGGAAGTCCTATGTGTCTGTTTGGTCACCCAATAAGCTGGAGGCATGACCACCAATAATCGGAATGTCCATTAACGGTTGGGTTGGGTGGACCTTCAACAAGAAGGACTGGGGGGTCTTAGTGGAAGTGTACACTTGAGATTTGGGTGGTATGCTTACATAGTTAGCCTATGTCAATGCTACAATTTAACGTGGGTTTCATGTTGGGAAGGCACTGCTACTGGTTCCGTTTCATGCCAAGGTTATGCTTGCTTGTTTCAAGCATGTTTTGCGTATGCGTCTTTCCATGCGTGTTTGTCGCTGATGCATCCGTTCACAGATTCGCATCGTTTCTGCATAGGCAGGGCCAGGTCGAGGACTACATGCAGCCGCTGGTGAACCTTGTATTGAGCTGCTTATATGGAGTACAACTGTGTTCGCATCGCTTCTGCATAGGCAGAGCCGACTCGAGGAATGCATGCAGCTGCTGGTAAGCCTTTTAGTTGAGATGCTTGTATGGAGTACATCTAGTGGTTCTATGCTGGTGGCATGCGTGCATCCTGGCATGCAGTAAGCATAGCAGTCACATGCATGCACACATACACACATCTATCCCACTCCCTCTGTTGCCTCCTCCATTACCCTGCCTGCCTCTCCTTTCAACCACGCAGGTACCTGCGTTCAACCGAGCAGCAGTGGGTAAAGATTATTGTTCCTCAAGTGTGCCCCTCTGCTGCATTCTCTCCCACCCACTCCCTCTCTGCTGCCTCTTCTCACCTACAAAGGTCTCTGCTTTCAACCCAGCAGCAGTGGGCAACGTGATGAGTCCAAACCTGACTGGTGATTCAAGCATAATATGTCGCCCCACCCACCCCATTCCACCCCATTCCACCCACGCAGATCTCTGCGTTCAACCCGGCAGCAGTGGGCAACGTGATGTGCACAAACCTGATCAACATTGACTGGTGCGTGGGGAGGAGGGCGCGGGGGGGGGGGGGGGGGGGTTGAAGGGGGTAATGCATATGTGGGGTAGTAATTGTTAGGCTAAATCGGTGGTCAACCCAGCAGCAGTGGGCAGCGTGATGTGTCGAAATTTGGTCAGCATTGACTCGTGTGTGTGTGTGTGGGAGAGGAGTGAAGGAGGGGGAGGAGAGAGGAGGAGGGGAGGGGGAAGGGGGAGGAAGAATCTGGTGTAATTCGGGCAGGGCGCCCCTCTCCTCTCGTTTCCCCTTCTTCCCCCTCACACCGCAGACAAGGCACTCTCTTCAACTGTGACTCAACCAGCAGCTCGCCCGAGGTGACTCAAAAGTCGGCCTCTCACCCCCACTAACTACTGCAATCGACTCTCCCTTCTCTGCACTCCATTCTTTTTCTGTCTTTCCTTCTCTCCTCTGCTCATCCAACCCACTGCAGGCAAGGCGCTCCCTTCGACTGTGACTTCAACCAGCAGCTCGCCCTCAGCCTTCCCCCCAAGCCATTTGCTGCACCCGACTCTCTTCTCTCCTCTCTCCATACTTATTCTGTGTCCTCTTCTTCCCCCACACATTCCTTTCAAGGCGCTCTTGTCGACTGTGACTTCAATCAGCAGCTCGCCCTCGCCCTTCCTCCCAACCCACCCAACGCTCCCCTTTCTGCTCTCCATTCTTGTTCTGTGTCCCCCTTTCTCCTCACCCACTACAGGCAGGGTGCTCTCTTTGACTGTGATTTCAACCAACAGCTCGCCCTCGGCCTTCCTCCCAAACCATCTAGTGCACCCAACTCTCCCCTTTCTGCGCTCCATTCTTATTCTGTGTCCCCCCCTCTCTCCAAACCCCCGGGCCTCCTACTCGATATGCCCATTGCAGGCAAGGCGCCCTCTTCGACTGTGATTTCAACCAGTAGCTCGCCCTCAGCCTTCCTCTTCTTCGCCCCTTCTTTCGTTTCTCCGTCCCTCTTCTCTGATCTCCTCCCCTCCCCTCTTGCAGGCAAGGCGCCCTCTTTGACTGTGATTTCAACCAGCAGCTCAACCTCGGCCTTCCTCTCCCTCTTCCGCTGCAACAAACTCTCGCCTCTCCCTTCCCCTCTTGTTTTTTCCCTTCTTCCCCACACATTCCAGGCAGGGCGCTCTCTTCGACTGTGACTTCAACCAGCAACTCAACCTCAGCCTTCCCCCCAAGCCATCCACTGCAACAAACTCTCCCCTCGCCCCTCCACCTCCCCCTCCTCCCCGCTCTGTCTTTGACATCCAATCACTGGAGGAGCTTGTGGATCGCCCCATAGCCACAGCGGCACACTGCTTCGGGTGAGTTACTCATTCTACATACTTTGTGATTCTTATCTGTGGCGTGTGTTGTGAATCACTGGACGAGCTTGTTGATTGCCCCCCATAGCCACGACAGTGCACTGCTGCAGGTGAGTTGCTGGTTCTATGTAATTGGTAGCTCTTACGGTATTTGTGGTAGTGAGCATGTATAGGTAGTATAGCGTGTGTTGTGAGTCAATTGGGAGGAGCTTGTGGACTGACAAATAAGCAACGGAACGCAATTCTGCAAGTTGATTATTCTTCCTGAATGTACTTGTTTAGTGAACCCGAACTGCCACTTTGCGTTGCGTCGGAAAGTTATTTGGCCGCTTCTGTGCACCTCTGGAGTCGACATCGCTTGCCCGTTAATTCCTTCGCGCTTCTTTTTCATCTCTTCATGTCTCGATGCAGGTGTACAGCTGGCAGTGGTTCCAGCTGTACCGGCGCGGTGGTGTAGGTGGTAAATGGACAAGTGTACTTTACCATGGTTCAATTTCATTACCATGGACTTCCCTAGGTAGTGTTCCCTATCATTTGGGAGTATGAACATAATGAGAGAACCCATCTTAGGTGTACATAATATATACGTTTTCTACCTGATATATTTGGTGTATCAACACAGAAATTTCCTGTGCACTTTAGGGTATCATGGGCCTATGTTAACTTCCTTTCTAAAAAATAGTGAACCACCTTATCAAATGGAGGGAGGAAGCTGTTGTAATTGATTCATGTGAGGGTTTACCTGACACTCGCTGAATAGCGAATCTGGTTGTAAGGGTTGTTTTCTCCCAATCAAGTCAAACATCAGCTGCGATGCTGCCAGCGGAGATTCGCCAGCCATTCATGCCGTAACAGAGCAGCATCGAGGGCCAGTCTTGTTAGCCCATAGCCCTGAACAACTCGGTAAGAAACGCACGACACAAGCTTGCAAAAATCGAGGGCACTGCAAGACTCGGAAGAAACTCGCGAAATGCGTGCGTGGCGTCGCACAGCGAAATTGGTGACTCGGCGCGATTTGAACTCCATGCATTGCTGTCCTGACAACTCACGCAGCATACACATCAGCGGGATTCAGCGCCTGCGGCTTGACTGCATCCCTCCCTGCGCACCCTTCCCCGCTCTCTCCTAGGGTTCCCCCCTCTCCCTTGCCTCAACTCATCGTCTAGTATTTTAGTTCGTCCCAGGCTGTGCCTCGCCAACTCCAAGCTTGCTTACTGTCACAGCTATCCAGTAGCCTGTTTTTCTAGGCACGATTCAGTCAGCTGTATTCAGCGTCTCTGCGCAACTCTTCGCCTTTCGTTGGCGAATTTCGAGGTCCTATTTTTAAGCGAGTAGCATAAAGGCAAATTTAGTTATTTCGTAATTCATTCTCTTTAAAAGTAGTCATCAGCTACTACTACGACGCATCACCAGCGCCGATGGCGGCCGGAAACACCCCTCCCGTTCTTCTCCGAAAACTCCTCGCGAATCTCCTCCTCTTCTGCCTTCTCCTCCCGCTCGCCCCGGTGCGCGCGTACGACTTGGACTGCGCAAACGAGGCAAACGCGGCCGTTGCGGTCCTGAGCTTCTGCAATGGAAACGGGTGGCGTCGCACGTGTCTCTACGGCGGCGGCTATTCCCCGGGCGACTCGACTAAGTGCGCGCTCGTGCAGGCTGGCGCGCTTTACTGCCATGATTGCAAGTGGAAAGCGAACAGGCTCGCGCGTTGCTGCGATATAGACCTCTCCGGTTACGAGTACAGCAGCGGCCAACAGGCCGACACGCATTATATCGAGGAGGGAATCAAACAGCTGCAATGTCCGGGGAATTACGACTGTGGTGAATCTGGTTACCCGCAGTGTAACGGGGGTGGCTTCGACGGGACTACCCCGTACTGGTCTAATGAATATGCCTATGCGGAAAGCTACAGTTACTGCGCCGACTTCGAAACTAGTGGAAACGTGCTGCGCGCGATGGAGCCTCGCGCGCCGTACAGCAGCGACGGGGTGCAGCTGCGCGAATTAGAGCGCCCACAACTGATTGAATCCTCCCGCGACGACGCACTGGCGGGCGGAAAGACCAAGATGCGCCGCCGCATGTGGGGAAGCGGGCGCCCCTGGTCTCCCCCCAAGATGTACAGCCGCCGCCTGTGGGGAAGCGGACGCCCCTGGTCTCCCCCCAAGATGTACAGCCGCCGCTTGTATGGAGGCGGGCGCCCCTGGTCTCCCCCCAAAATGTACAGCCGTCGCCTGTATGGAGGCGGAAGGCAGTGGTACCCGTGATAAGCAGATTCGACAGAGCTTTGAAGGTGACGCCAAGGGGAACACGGTAGGACGTCACTGCATACGATTTTCTTGAGGGGTTGGTGAAGTGAAAAGGCGATCATGTTTTGATTTATGATGCATACAGGGGTTTTTTTTAGTAGCCACGTGAAGCGAGGCTGTTTTTGAGACGTCTCAAAAACATACAGGGGCTTTTTTGAGTCAAAAATCGCCTCATCACATGCTTTGGTTTAGGATGCATACAGGGGTTGGTTGGGATTTTCAGGTTGTTCACGGGATGGTAAGTCCAACCATTCCGCTTGGCTGTGTGCTGAAACCTATTTGTGGAGTAGGAGAGTTTTATTGGTGGTGGTGGTTATTACTATTGACATTGCCTTTGTATCTGCTGCTGTGAATATTTCGTTTCTGGTTGCATTTGTTTACTTGAGTGAGCTTTTTCAGAAGATAAGCCCTCAAATCAATGGCCAAGCATGCATGAACCCACCTATGGAACCTTGACAGTACTGCATATGCAACTTTTAGTGTACTATTAGTTATACTCCCATTAAAATAAGCTACCCCTTCTGGACTTAGTACGAGCAAAACGCGAGATGCACACATAGAACCACATTGCCACACTGCCACAGAACCACATAACCTATCCTGCGTTGCACCCATGGGTGCTGTTGCTGCATTACCCACCACACCTACAGCAGCAGTAACTATGGCAGTGACAGCACCACCAACTTCAATGCCAGTGTGTCTCTCCCTCCTCCTATTCCTCCTTCCAACCCTCTCAGTCCTCCTCCCATCGCCCCGGTTCAGGTACGCCTCGGGTCCAGTGCAGCTAAGGTTTGGTTCAGGTACTCGTCAGGTTCGGTTAGGCAGACGTTCGGTTTAGGTGCACCTCAGGCCTGGTGCGGCTGAGGGTCGGTTCAGATATGTCTCAGGTCCGGTGCGGCTGAGGTTTGGTTCAGACACGCCTCAGTTCTGGTGCGGCTGAAGGTGTCAAGAATGAAAGTGTTGGTTCATTGATGTGGGTTGGGGTACATGTAACAAACCCTAACATCTGTACCCCCTAAGACAAACCTCACTACAAGCTACAACATTTGACACAATCCCATAGCCTAAGTGAGGGGTGTCAAGCAAAACCAAAAGTGTACGGTCACAAGACCAGTCACAAATAAACAAAGCTCAGGGTGGATCACAACGTCACCACACACTCTGAGCACAAGCAACAGGGGCCACAAGGCCAGTTCGAGAGTTCACAAGTGTGTATAGCAAGAGTACAAGCAAAGCAAACTGTAGACTCAAGCCTGTACACGACTAGAAACTATGTCAACAAGGCCTAACAGCACACAACACCTCTGGTGGTCACAAGGCGGAAGCGCCTTGGTGAAGATGTCTGCAGTGTTGGCCTCAGACTCCACAAACTCGAAGCGACCATGTCCATGTCTCTGCAACTCTTGCAGAAGAAAGTACCTGGCGTTAATGTGCTTCACTCTGCTCCCCAGTCGCGGCTCTCGGCAAAGGAGAATCGACGCCTTGTTTGAACAAGGTCGGTGCAGAGCTCGGCCGCTCACCAAGGTCGGCGAGCAAGAAGGTCAACCAACGCAGCTCCTGTGCCGCCATGGCACCAGCGTAGATCTCAGCCTCAGCTGTAGAGGTTGAGACCGAAGAGGAGCGCGTGGACCGCCACGAAACAGCTCCATAACCCAAGCTGAAACAGTACCCCTGAGTAGACCTATGAGTCTCACCGTCGTCAGCGTAAGAAGAGTCACAGTGACCAGTGAGTACGACAGGTTGCTGCCCTCCAAGAACTAGCCCCACGCCTGATGTCGTCGCTAGGTACTTTGCCACCCTCACAGCTGCCGTCCAGTGAACACGACGGTGTCTCCTTGGCGCAACAAAGCGAGCAAGGATGCTGAGAGGGAAGGCGAGGTCCGGGCGATTGCAAGTCATCACGTACATGAGGCAGCCTACCAGCTCTGCGTAGGGACCACTAGACTCAAACGGCTCATCAGGATAGGGTCCAGTAAGTCTGTGGTCAACAACAAGAGGTGTGCGCTGTATTGTGGAGTGCTGAAGCTCAAAATGCTGAAGGACCTGTTACACCATGTGTGACTGTGAGAGTGTAATGGTGCGAGCAGCTCTGTCCCTGGTGATCTGCCGGCCAAGGTAGTGACGCAGCTCACCAAGGTCAGTGCACGTGTGTCTCTTCTACAGTTCGGACTTCACGTCTGCCAAGGCAACCCTGTCAGCAGTGGCGAAAACCCGGTCGTCGACGTAGACCAGAACAAAGAACGGTGTGGAACCACGATGAACGGACAGCGACGGGTCGGCAGAAGACGGCTGGAACCCAAGGTCAGAGAGGGTAGAGCAAAGAGTGTCGTGCCACTCACGAGGAGCCTGACAAAGACCGTGGACAGGTCGCCTCAGCCTCCACTGGGTCCCAGGAGGGAAAGTGTAAGTGAAGGCAGAGGGACGACGCAGCCAGACCTCCTCGTGTAAGCTACCCTGAAGGAAAGCAGTGGAGAAGTCGAGAGAGTGTAACTCGTAGTCTCTTTGTGCTGCTACGTGCAGTAACACCCTAAGAGTGGTCATCTTCGGGGTAGGCGCGAAGGTCTGAAAAAAGTCAACTCCCTCGCGCTGACTGAAACCTCTAGCCACGTAGCGCGCCTTGAAGACCAGAGGAGATCCAGGTGGTCGCTTCACCCTGTAGATCCACATGCCATCGACTACGTTCGCCCCAGGGGGGGGAACC